AGCAAAGTATAGAGGTCACTGTGTAAACCGATAGAAAAGTAACCATCAGCAAATACTGCAGTGATTAGTTAGAATCTGTATTATTCCTTATATATATGTATATGTATGTATTCTCTGTTACAAAGGATGAAGACAAATAGAGAAACATTTCAATGTAAACCATTTATGAATTGGAAGTGATGTTGGTTTTAGTTATCTTTGTAAATAAGGTAATTAGAATGGTATGAAAAGTAATGTGATTATTGCAGGGGTGTTTTAAAATCTTGGGTATAAATTCTAGGGTGAATTCTAGTTTATCAAGACTAGTTTTTAAAGGGACCTGCCTTTGAGGGTGTTTTTGTTATTTTGGAGGGGGGAGGGGTTAATCACAAAAGTATGTGGATTTAGGTTTTCTCTGTTTTTGTTTTTCTGTCCAGAAGAATTTCATAGAGCTTTACTAGGCTGTGCAAAGTAGAATTCTTCTCAGGCAACATTTGCTTTTTAAAATAATCATGAAGAACAAGGTTGTTAAAGCAAAAACTTTTTTTTTTTTTTTTTTAATTTTTCTTGTCTTCCAAGATCCGATTTCCCCATCTCCCACTTGCCATCCAGCAGATGCCATCTGTCATCTAAGCTGGTCATTACTAATAAACAAGGAGACTGTCTCCTGACAGCCAGCACTGTGTATAATCACTCAGGAACCAGCGGATCTGCAAAGACCTACAATCAAAAGCAAATCCCCATTTTCCTTTTCCAAAACATTCTACCCTCACCTCCAATATAAACACGTGAAAAGAGTATACAAATGTTTAAAATCATGTACTAATAAATTCATTGTATGTTAGAATTGCAATAGAATGGAGAGAGAAACATTTAGCTAGTCATGTATCTGGAAACTGAATGTCCTATGTGAGTATTAGATTTAATAGCATGCTTTAAAGACTGATGAATATAAAAGCTCAAGTTTTGAGTTTATTACTGCTTTCAAAGTTGTATCCTAGTTTAGTGATACAAATGATTGCAACTTTTCTAAATCTTGAAATTATTTGGTTTGGTGGAGTGAGGCATGGAGCAATCTGGCGTCTTCTGATTTGTAAAGTAGTGATGGCAGTGAAGTTGTAACTGAAATTTAAGCTGATCTTCCTTTTTGGTATATTATCTGTTGTGCCAACTCTTTGAGATTACTTGCAGAACGTGGCTGTAAGTTTGAGTATTTTGTGGAGCAGAGGGATATTTTAAAAATGTGCTTATGGAAAGGACCCGATAAACGAATATTCCTAACTTAGTAACTAGAATGATTTTATGGTATTCGTAAATAAGGATAAAAGTCTTCCCCCTGCCCCAGAAGTCATTCTGTAATTACCAATATATGTTAGGAGTAGGATTATGATTCAAAGAGGTATCCCAAATTCATAAAGCAATAATAATAAAAACCTACATATTAGTTTTCCCCTCCAAATTTTTAACTCTTTAAAAATGAATCCCTAAGCTTAATTGTACTTTCAATTTGCTTATTCAGTACTTAGGGTTTGTTTCACTTAACTTTATTATTTTTAATTAAAATCTTGAAAGGTGCCCTTTCCCCTTGGAGACAGTTGGAATATCAGTTGACTAACATTACAAGCTCTTGTAGGGGGAAAATGGAGCTTGTTAAATAAAATCCTTTACCAAACCTTAGGAAAAGATGTCTTGCAACATCTTGCATCAGTCTTAATAGGCATAAAGTTCACACTTAATGCCTGGAGAAACTTTTGCTTATTGCCTTTCCCTCTATAAATAGTGTCTAGGATGAAAACTAATTTAGAAACAAGACTCAAAGATTCAAGAAAACCCTTAGTGAATATATTCTTGATCATTAATATTAGTCCATTATATTTTCATCTGTATTTGCCATTAAAAATTTATTTGCATTTATACTTTTAGGATAATTGAGTTTGTGTCTTTCTAATAAATCTATTTTATCATTGCTACAGGTTAAAAAAAAGAGCCTTTCACTAGTACATGGCAGAAGTTCATATTTCTGCTAAGTTTTTTTTTTTTTTTAAACAAGTGTAGCTGTATTTATTGGTCATGCAGTAAGTAGAGGAAATGTACAAGACAAATGTTTTTCTTTACCACATAAGGGACCTATGCTCATCCTGAAAGTTTGTTGCTTTAAAAGCAAGTATCTCCATATTATTATGGCCTTCCATTTTCTTCATAAATTTTTTATGATCCACTTGTGCATGTAGTTGAGACCACTGTCTCTTAATATAGCACTTTTCAATTCTCTAAAGAAATACTTATGTACTACTTCTATCACATGTTGTAAATTTTCATGTAATAGTGTTTTCTGTGACTAAACTCCATTTTGATTGGCAGCTAAGACTTTTTTTCCTGTGGCTTTAATTTATCTAAGAGGTCTTTGCATATAGATGAAATGTATAATTTGCCTGGCGGACTATTTGCGTTGTGTGGCCTTAGTTTGTTTATTGACATTAACGAGTGTTTTAAAAAGGTTTTTAATGAATAGTCTTAAATCTAAATTTGTGTGAATAATAATCCTTTTAACACAGTGCTTTTTTGTAGCTGTCTAAGTGTGTTAAATTGTTAAGCTATTTCTTTGTAAAATAGGACAATGGAATGCATAGAGGTTTTTTTTTCCCTGTAAAGTATTTTTTTAATAAACAAAAGTCTGATTTGTCCTTTACTTATGTTTCATGAGAAAATGAATAGCACGTGTGAATTCTAGATACCTGAAACCTGTTTTTAAAGTATTAATCCTCCCACCTTGTTATGTCCCAATTAGTTTCTAGTATTTTAGAAAAAATCTTGTGACCTTCCTAAAAGAAAAGGTCATAGATAATGAGAAAATGCCGTCACATTGAGGTGCAGCTAGTTTGGGGGAAGAAAAGCTACACTTGGCATTTGTGGTAGTTGTGCCTTCTGATGCTTAAATTGGGTTTTTATCTACTTGAGGACAGCCAAATTGTTCATCTGGGTACATGCGTGCAGTGTTAATGAAGATGGTGAGCAGACATTTTGGACATCGTTGATGTATTAAGTGATACAATGCAGTGGATCTTCTTCCTCCAGATTTTGTGTGAACTTCTTTTTGAAATACTTGTCCTAAGCCCTGATAGACCCTGGTTGGGAAGGGAACTAATGGTTTTTCAGTAAGTGCTGTGGGCCATTTAATATTCACAGCCTTTAGTATTTACTAGGTAGATAACAAATACAGGTGAGAAAACAGGCTTGTTAGGTTGAATAAATTGCTGAAGATCACACAGTGCTTTAATTGGAACAGGGATTTGAATGCAGTTCTTGGTTTAAAGCCTATGCAGTGTTCAGTGGCAGTCTTAGCACTGAAAAGTTTGTAAGATGATTTGCCCCTTCCTACTATTCCCTAATGCAACTTCAGTTCTTTCATGAATTCCCCAAAAAGTCTCTGTGCGCTAAGCAACGAAGTAAAATGTTTTTGTTATTAATGTAATTTAGGACTTAAATATTTAGATAAAGATGACTTTCTCATTTGTCACTTTTTTTTTTTTTTAAGTCGGCCATTTGTTCCGAAACCCAGCAGAATTATGTTTAAGAAAGGGGGAAAGCTGTCAGGAAACAAACCAGAAAGGGAACCACAGCCTATGCGTGCCATATAAAAATCAAGCCTGGATGAAATAATTTTTAATTAGTTCTGTAGGAGTTACTTATACATTTTAGTGGATTTTCCTTAGCAGTAGAATGGGATAACTTCACCTTACCCCGATTTAATAGGCAAGAAATGTTTGTAAAACATTTAGAACCTCACTTCTCAGGCTTTCTGAAGTGGTAGCCGATGTGCCATTATCTGTCATTAGCTTTACCTGACTCTGCTGGGGCAAGCAAGGACACTGCTTCAAGTGGGGTGGGAACGGCCGTTAGGGGTCAGTGTTCCACTAATGGCCAAAAAGCCCTGCACTATAGAGGAAAGCAGCTCAAAACCTTAGGAAGGTATCCTTAGATACTCCTTTTAGCGCGCAGCCATTCCTTTCTCCTGACCCCTATCAGCCTGCTCGAACTCTTAGCCTAGAGACAGTTCTTCCCGCCGCCACCCTCCCCTACCCTAATTTGGGAAACGTGCCCTGGAACTGCGTCAAGCCTTGGCCCTCCTCTTCCCTCAGTCTCGCGCACCCGCAAAGTTTAAATCTCAGAGCTGCTGAGAGTTAAGGGTGACAAGCAGCCCACCGCGCCCTTCGTCCGGGGACGGCGTAAATGCAAGAAAACTGCGTTCATCCAGCCCAGACGGAGAACCTATGTGCCAGGCGCCTGCCAGGCTCCAACCGCACTGAACCCACAGCCCTTTAGGGAAGACCGACAGTAAATAATGGAGCACACAAAGAAACCTGTAAGACAAAGAGAAGTGTTACAAAGGAATGAACGGGCAGCTCTTAGGACATTTGGACCGACCTCCTTCAGGTCGACGTCTGGGCAAGTCGTTTCTCAGGAAGTGACCTGACGCGTGATGTGAGGGTCGTGTGGCTCCCCAGTCCCTGCGTCCGGGAGCCCGGCGGAGGCCCCCGGGGCCAGGCCCGGGCGGGGGCGGAGCCACTTTCGTGCAAAACCCGGAAAGCGGAAGCCGCAGCGGGGCTGCACCGTGGTCTGCGGCGCTGCCCTCGCCCAGCTCGCGGCCGGCTGAGTCACGGCCCGCCCGCCAGCGGGGCCTCGCAGGACGCCCGCCCGCCCTTCGCCCCGCAGCGGCTGCCTCCCGCGCCGGGGTGGGGGGGAGCCCTCCGCTCCGCACCCGAAGAGCCGGGCGCCGAGCCTCCGGCCGTTGCCGCAGCCCCTGGCGGCCAGCGAAGCCCTCCTTCACGTCTCGTCCCCGTCCTTTCCCAGTTGATTCCTGGCTTATTTGGGGGTCGGTCCGGTGACCCTGAAGGTCGCGCTTGGAGGGCGCCGGGGCTGCGGCAGCAGACTGCCCTCCTCCCGGCGCGGGCGGCCGGCTGCCCCCGAGACCCGCGCGGCCGCCGCGGTCTCCATGGTAACGGCCGCGCCGGCGTCTGCGCCCCGGGGGGAAGATGCGGCCTGCGGCGCCCGCCGCCTCTCCCCCGGCCTCATGGCGGGCCCGGGGCCACTGAGGAGGAAGGTCCCGGCCGCCGGACTGCGGGGCAGCGGGCACCAGGTGAGAGCCGGACGCCGGGGAGCGGAGGAGGGGGTGCGGGCCAACTCCAGCCACCTGCCCTCCCCACCCCTCCCCTCCCCTGCAGCCTTGAACACACTCGCACCAAATATCGCAGAGACGCTTCTCCCGGCGCCACTGCACCAGAGGTTTTTGGTTTGCTTCTGTTTTTGTCTTTTTTTCCTGGCAACCAGCCGGAGAAGGAGACAGTCAGCAGCTCATGGAGACGCCGAGAGAAGCGCTTTTTGAGTTCTACCCAAACTGGGAGAGTACCTTTCAGCAACCGGACTCACCGACTGCTTTTCCTTCGTTTTCAGTGAAATCCCATTCTCTGGCTGGAGACACAGATGGCCTCAAATGAGAGAGATGCTATATCGTGGTACCAAAAGAAGGTAATATCAACCTTTTTTTTTTTTATTATTTTATTTATTTTTTTTTTATTTGTAAAGCAGACTTCCTGCAAAATGCCCCCGCAAAGAATCCCCCGTTAGCTTTCCCTAAGCTCGGTAGTGCCGGCAATTCCAGCACGCTGTCTCTCTCCCAACATCAACGGACAAACCGAGGCGCAAGGTCATTAGGTCTTTTAGGCTCTGTTCCCGGTCCCCGAATAGGACTCTCAAGTCCCCTCCCTTCTCCAGGCCGCATACACCGTGCCCCAGCAACGCTCTGAAAGTTTGCTTCTGATCAAACTGCTGTGTTTTTTTTAGACGTGAAACTTGTATCTTCACAGCTCAGATTGGTACTGGCAACAGTCTTACTGAGCTGTCCGTTACCTTTTTATTCCTCTCTAGTTTTCCTACTGATGTTTTCCTTAAGAAGTGGAAATATCTTGTAAGGTAATGCTTAATTTGAAATATTTTGGACAGTACTTTTTAACTTTTCGATCCAGCTACTTTAGACTTTTGAATGCAACAGTCCTTTAAATAACTTACTCTAACCTCTGAGAAGCATAAACATTCCCCAGATATTGTATCGATGCTTAGTAGTTTCGTGACTTTTGTGACATTTGACCTAAATAACAGGATTTCCTTTGCATCATTCAAATAGCCTGCTCCCTATTTCAGATTGGAGCATATGATCAGCAGATATGGGAAAAGTCAATCGAACAGACTCAGATTAAGGTAAATTGATTTCTTTGATTCTAGCTTTGTTTTACTGAATTAATGTGGAGAGTGGTTTGCACTTTTTATAAAATCTGCACTTATCCACCAAGTCTGGCATTCTTTATTCTTTGAAGTCTAGAAGGAAGACAAAACACTGCAAGCAGAATGATAAATGACAGTTGACATTTGACCTCAATATCAGGGAAATAGAGAGGAGTGTGGTTGGTCTGTGATGCATTAGAAAGCAAATGTCCCCTACAAAGGGGGCTGTGGCTGCTTAACTCTGGTCAGTTTTATTCTGTGGCAATGCAGGCCAAGGACTGCCAGAGCCTCAGGAAGATGCTTTTTTATGCGAAATATCCAGACTTTTTTCAGAGCATCTTCCCTTCCCCCTGCCTTTCCGCCGCCTCCTCCACTTCCTCTTCCACCGCCTTCTCCCTCTTCTTCTTCCTTTCTTTCTCCTTTTTCTCTTCCCGTGCAAGCTACATCACATCCATTTGTGGCCTGAATCACTTTTTCAATTACCGGTTTAGAGTGTGGTCTTAAGTTTTTCAGGTTCTTAAACTTTTTTCTACCCTGCTCTTAGAACTGAGCAGATTCATGGGGTTATTTCATGTTAACCAACCAAAAACTGATGTGTGATTCAGAATGCCAGTTTATTAACTTATAATAGGGGAGGGGAGGGGAGGGTTAAATAATCTAATGCTCCAGAGTCAGGGTTGTGATGTCAGTATGTACTGGGACAGGTGGGAGGTTGGTGCAAATTAGTCACGGGAGGGTTGCTTGGTAGCCAAATGTTATTGAATAGTCTTGAGAGATGTGGAAAAGCCTAAAGACCATCCCAGCCCCTAAAAGAATGTCTCTCCCTATTGACTTTAATACTTAGATCTACAGATTCAGGGTCTTACTTCCTTGGAAAGTGCTGAATAATGGCTGGCATTTTCTTCTTTTTGGACCTTGCTATTTTAAACATTTGTTGCAGATCCTTTATTAACACTTAAAAAAATACATGTATGTGTGGGTGTAATACAATTTAATAGTTTTGTTTATCTATAAGTCACATTGATTGCCCTGGGATGTTTAAATCTCTGGTGAAATACATTTAACCAACACTTGTAGGGTGCATAACAGGCCAGTCAACTTCAAAGCTGTTAGAACTACATGGTACATGGCAAACTTTTACAGTTTTGTGCTGTCCTTGATTTTTTTTTTTATATTAAAGGGACATGGGGAAGGATGAATCAACTCCCACATTATATTTTGTAACTCTCTAAAATCCTGGCCTGTTAGTCTTTTGTGAGTTGCTGTAAAGTACTGATAGTAAGATGTAATGAAAAGAGCACAGAACTGGGAGCGAGATCCTCTTTTAGTGATCTCTAGCCTTGTGATCTTGAACAGCGCTGTAGTGTCTCTGGGTTTTGGTTTCTGTATCGTTAAAAAGATTTTATTGACTGCCTTCCCCTACCCAACTAAAGATTTTCTCAACTCTCATTTCCGTGCCATTTTATGCAGACCTTCCTTTTAGTATACCAAATCAAAAGTATTTGTTAACCTGTGCATCTTCATAGGCCTCAAAGCACGAATTGTGTTTGCATCCCATTTTTAGAACCTCTTGATTCTTACTAGGACCTCAGTATCTGTTGCTCAGTTTAATTAACGCTATCTATTATATATGTTTTTATTCATTGTTCTGTCACAAGGTAATCTACCTAACAACTCCTTAATGTATACTTTGAATTTAGCAGCAGTGGAAAGGATCAAATTAAAGACAACTCTAAAAATTTACTAAGCTAATGTACCAACATGTTCTAGGCTTTGAGAGTACAGTCAACAAGATATATATGAATTTCACAGTCTAGTGGTGGTGGGAGAAGAGCCAAGGTATCTTTTCAAATATGTTTTCGTCTCAGACAAAAATGGACCAAAATATAGGACACAAAGTATTTAATGCAATTTAAAAATAGATTACACAAACATAAATATTTTTGACAAAAAAATTTAAAAAAGAAAATTAAATAATAATATTAACATCAGATCACCGTACAATAAAATTAGAAATTACACAATACACGTATAATTCAAGAGGCAAGAATGTACAATAGGGAAAAGGCAGTCTCTTCAACAAATGGTCTGGGAAAACTGAACAGCTACACGCAAAAGAATGAAATTGGACTATTTTCTTTTCTTTTTTTTTTTTTTTTAATTTTTTTAATGTTTATGTTTGAGACCGAGACACAGCATGAACAGGGGAGGGTCAGAGAGAGAAGGAGACACAGAATCTGAAACAGGCTCCGGGCTCCGAGCTGTCAGCACAGAGCCCGATGCGGGGCTTGAACCCACGGACCGCGAGATCATGACCTGGGCCGAAGTTGGACGCTCAACCGACTGAGCCACCCAGGTGCCCCTGGACTATTTTCTTATACACAAAAATGAACTCAAAATGCATTAAAGACCTGAATGTGAGACCTGAAAACGTTAAGACTCCTAGAAGAAAACATAGCCAGTAATTTCTTTGGCATTGGCCTTAGAAATTCTAGACCTGTCTCCTCAGGCAAGGGAAACAAAAACAAATTTAAAGGATTGAATCAGCATCAAAATAAAAGACTTTTACACAGCAAAGGAAACCATCAACAAAACAAAAAGGCATCTGCTCAATGGGAGAAGATATTTGCAAATGATCTATCCAATAGGGGTTAACGGCCAAAGAACTCTTACAAGTCAAGACCAAAGAAGCAAATAATTGATTAAAAATGGGCAGAGGAGGGGCGCCTGGGTGGCGCAGTCGGTTAGGCGTCCGACTTCAGCCAGGTCACGATCTCGCGGTCCGGGAGTTCGAGCCCCGCGTCGGGCTCTGGGCTGATGGCTCAGAGCCTGGAGCCTGTTTCTGATTCTGTGTCTCCTTCTCTCTCTGCCCCTTGCCCGTTCATGCTCTGTCTCTCTCTGTCCCAAAAATAAATAAACGTTGGAAAAAAAAATTTAAAAAAAAAAAAAAATGGGCAGAGGATCTGAAAAGACACTTTTCCAAAGAGGACATAAAAGTGGCCAACAGAAGCATGAACAGAAGCTTAACATTTCACCAGGAAAATGCAAATCCAAACCACAGTGAGATACCACCTCACACCAGTCAGAATGGCTAAAATAAAAAACACAAGACCCAGCAAGTACTGATGAAGATATGAAGAAAAAGAAACCTCGTTCACTGTTGATAGGAACGTAAATTGGTGTGGCCACTGTGGAAAACAGTATGCAGATTGCTCAAAAAATTAAAAATAGAATCACTACATGATCCAGTAATTTCACTACTGGTATTTACCCAAAGAAAACAAAAACATTAATTTGAACAATTGCATGCACCCTTGTGTTTATTGAAGCACCACTGACAATAGCCAAGATATAGAAGCAACCTAAATGTCCATCAGTAGATGAATGGATTATATATATATATATAACATATATATATAGTGGATGGTCCAAGGTGGATGGACCTGGAGAGTATAATGCTAAGTGAAATGAGTCAGAAAAAGAAAGACAAATACCACATGATTTCACTCATGTGGATTTTAGGAAACAAAAAAGGAGACCAAAGAGACTCTTAAATACAGAGAACAAACTGGTAGTTGCCAGAGGGGAGGTGGGTGGCAGATGGGTGAAATAGATCAAGGGGATTAAGAGGATGCTTAGTGTGATAAGTAGCATATGGAATTGTTGAATCATTACATTGTAACCTGAAACTGTATGTTAATTATACCTCAATAAACAAGTAGTTAAACAGATTAAAAGGTTATTACCACTGAAAAGAGAAAAATTTGCAAATGTGGGAACATGGCAATAAAAATAGTGATTATTTCAGTTAAAAAAAACTTCAAAATTATAGAAGATGTAAATTAAAAAAAATCTTAACTTGGGTTATGAAAAGTGTATGAACTCTTCTGCAAACGTTTTCTGAGCTACTGTGTTTAAGGATTTTGCTAGGTGCTGAGCATAAGAAGAAAAGTACTTATGAACAGAAGTATAGTATTTGTTTAAGAGAAGAGCAAGTAACCCTATCTGGTTGGAGTATAAGGTATACAGATGAGATGATAGGCCATAAATCAGTTTGGAGCTGACTTGAATGCTTTACTAAGAAATTTTCATACTATTCTGTAGAAAACAGAAAATTTTTCATGGTTTTCAAATAGAGGAGCCACATCGTGTTTGTGTTTTTGAAGAATAGACATTACAACAAAATCTATGGAATGTTTCTGAAGTAATACTTGATAAAATTATATTACTCTAAAAATGTATATATGAACAAAAAATGTCTAGATTGACTAGGAAGAGTTATAGAGATTCAAGTTAAAATATGAAGAATCTAGAGAAACAAAACAGTAATTCCAAGAAGGGAAAGAAATACCAAAAATAAAACAAAGGCAGTCATTATGTATTCTTCAATTGCTAAATATTTGTTGAGCACCTACCTACCATATGTCAGGTAGTAGACTAGGTACTATTGTCTACATAATGATGAGCAAAAACGCTCAGTATTTTTCTTTGCATGGAGCTTAAAGTGGGAGAGGAACAATAAAAATCCTCTTAGTGAATAAAAATTTGTAATAAATGCTAAGAAGGACAGCTGTTCTTTACAAACTATTATACTTACGACAAGGGAAATGGACTTAGTCAAGGTGGTCAGAGAAGCCTTCGCTAAGGAATTGATACTTCAAATGAGATCTGAAGGATGAATAGCAATTAAGTCAAGAACAGATATACTACAGAAACCTACAGAAACTCAGAAAACAGGAGGAAGTACACTTCTCAACTCGTTTTATGAGCCCGGTATTATCCTGATTCTAAAGCCAGACAAAGACATCACAAAATTCATTGTGAACGTAGGTGTGAAATATTTAAGAAAAGATTAGCAAACCAAATTCAACAACATATAAAATGGACTATCTACTGGGAACAAGTGGTGTTTATCCTAGGAATGAACATTGGTTTAACATTTGAAAATAAATTAATATACCATATTAATTGAATAA